TCGCGGAGATAGACGCATCTGACAGCGTCTCTAACGTTCCAGATTATTTGCTAACGCTTGTTTCGGCAGAAAATAATTCGATTCTGGAGCAGAGTCCTTCCGCACACTTGCCACAGGTTAATCTTGTCCGTCTCCGGAGACTTCCTCTGGTCGGTTCGGAAGTTGTGGCTGTTTCGTCTTCCATTTTTAAAGCAATGTGCCCAGACCATCGCAGCTGTAACTTCTCAATCTTCAATCTGGAGAAGCAGAGGCTGCGCACCAAGGCTCTCTGATGTCAGTATTCAGACCATGTCGAGTTGCTTGACGCCAGCAATTCGTCCCAGAAAGACCATTTCAAACCCTTGTACTGGGATCGAAGTTTTTCAGTCATATTCGACGTCTCATGGCCGTACGTAAGCATTGGGATGAAGATTGACTTAAAGACAGACTCAGCTATGCCTTATTCGTACCGGTGCGGGCTAGTTCACGCTCGCCATTCCAGTTCACCCGTCGATTTCTTCCTCCAACATTTTATCCCCATTAAACACGATCCCGAGATACATGAACATCATGTAAACATAGCAAGGTCGTTCAACAGCCTTCTCTTTTCCACATTTCCTACTCTGATACAAGCCTCGCCCCGGGTGCTCCTGTCTATTCTGTTCATTTACAACGCAAATAGACGAAACGACAGAACTAAGTCTTGGCTGAGACCACTACCAACGCTGAAAGGTCTCGATTTAAGGCGATTGATTATGACACAGCATCTGCTATCAGTGACTGGATGAATCATAGAAGCTGCCAATCGACTCCACATAGTTTGCAGGTAAGCCCGGTTGTTGTGCGGGATCCGGTCATAGACTTTCTCTAGGTTCACATGCACATATAAACCGGATAAGCTAATTTCCACCATTTCTCAACAATTTTGCGTAGGGCGAATATCCGGAATATCGGCCAGACCAGAAGACCTACTCTTCTTGTATATTGGAGTCGTTTATTCCTCTGCACTTTCTTTCTAGCACCTTTTCTTAGACTTTACCTGGGAGGCTCAATAAGGTAATGCCCTGATAATTGGAGCATTCATTTGGGTCTCCCTTACTGAACAGAGGCTCAACAACCACCCTTCTTCAGTCCGCTGGTATTTTGCCCGTAACCATTGCTGCTTGACAGACACGTGTAAGCCAGCACATGCCTTATTCGCCTAATGCTTTGAGCATTTTAGGGCGGAATTCATCAATTCTAGCAGCCTTTCCACTTTTCAAACGTTTCACAGCTTGTGTGATTTCATCTACAGAAATAGTAATATCCCGTCACTGCTGCTTTACACGCGAGTCTTCCTGCTGTTGCTTGGCGTTAAGGAGTTCCTCAAAGCACTCTTCACCACCCAAGAATGTCCTCAACCTCGGTAAGAGGGTGTCCATACTGTCCTTCAAAACAATTAGACAGTCCTTCTTTTCACCGTTGAGCCGGCGGATGGCCTGTCAGAATTACTTGTTTGCCGCGCCGAGCTTCTCCCAGGAATCAGCTTTCGCTTTTGCCACTGCTTTCGTTGCCGTCATGTTTGCTTCGACATATCGCATGCAAGCAGAAGGCACTTTTCTCCAAGCCATTTCTTGAATGTAGCCTACTTCACTTTATCTGCTAGTTGTACCTCTCGTATCCACCAGGACATTCTTTTCTGACCTTCAGGTGACATGCCAACTCGATTAAATCCGCAGCATTCGGCGATAGCCTCGACTATGCCGCGCTTAAAGAACTGCGACTCGGTTTCCACGTCAGTGGTCATCACCGGGATCTGTTCAAACCTTCGTGCAATGTTGTTTGCAAGTTTCGCTCTCGTGTCCACGGAAGATGATGTTTCTCATTTGATTCGCTGGTTGTTTTTGCCACCAGATCTTCGTATAGTGCTCCATTTCTTACAGCGTAGCATATCAGCAACAAGACGGCGGTCGGTTGATGGCTCTGTGCCTTTCTTAATGCGAACGTCCATGCCAGAGCTCGTAAGTCAAACGATGCGAATATCAAATCGTTCATCGGCCTCTCTCACGAGCTTTCCTTTACCAGGTATAGTGATGCACGCTTCGATGCTCGAAGAAGGTGTTCATAATAGACAGTCCGTTGTTTGCACAAATCCAAACAACTTCATGCTGTTATTGTTGAGGCCGGCAATGTCGTTGTTTCAAATCACGCTCTTCCACTTTTCAGTGCTTTCTCCGGCAGGCTCAATGAAATTGCCCATTAGAATGATGAATTCCTTAGGCACTTCGTTCAGGGCACTTTCTACTTCCTTCCGGAGGGACTCATGTTCTTCCTTTAATCCTTTAATCCACAGATCTGTAACAAGGTCAGCACTTTAGCCTGTTGTAGCTTCAATCGGAGAATTGCCACCCATCCGCTGATAGGCTTCCATTAAGTGATTCTGTCAGTCAGATTGGGTTCTACCAGAACACCATCATCAGTTTGAGCGCTCGTCGTGGTATCGACACCTGAGTAGAATAGCTTCAACCCTCAGAGGTTCAGGATTCCAGAGCTTTGGCGCTTCGTTGACGAGAGTCCAGCAGTGTTGAGTTGGTAGTTTATGACCTCATGAAATGACTCTTGTTCTTTCCCTCTGAGTGAGGAGATATTCCGGTTTCTGACTGTAAGCTACCACTGACGGTGTCGTTTTGGGAGAGCTTTTTTTTAACGTGCTATAATGGCATCGCGCTGTCTGCCTCTTCCGTTCAGAAGAGATAGCGACTTAACAGTTGAAGATTAGTATCTTCGTCGATCTTTGTTAGCCGTTGTTATGTTGCTACACCCCTGGCTGATAGTGGGCGATGAGCATGGTCTGATCGCCGACTTTTTGCCACCTGCTTCAGTGCAGCCTTCACTGCCCTTAGTAATCCGAGCGACGATGTAGCCTGTGTAATGTTCGTTTAGGGCAATACCATAAGGACAGGTGGCTAATTCTTACGGGAGATTTCGCTGGTTTCTATCTATCCGCTTTTCACATGCGTGCTTTCGAATAGCAGAGGTGGAGTTTGTCCGTTTTTCCGTTTTCCATATCAAATTGCAGACCTTGCAGAACCAGCTGAAATCGCCCAATGAACCAACCGAGTTCAACTAGTTCGGCAAGTAATATTTCACTAAACGAATGTCACGTTTCCCTGACTCACAGATTGATTTGTTTAATACTTCGTTTGCTGTGGAACGAAAACAAGCCATTCAAGGAATTTCTAATAATTTGTCATGTAGGTAAAATTGAATGACGGCCGATATGCATCAGCGGATCATGAATGGATACCCGCTTCCAAACATTAAACCATTTCATAATTTAGCGCGAAAGCATCTCAGCTCAGAAGTTATATGACAGTTCAGCAGCCAGGCACCTTTTGGTATTCCTCAGAAGTGTTTACATCGTGAGGAAATTGTCGGCGTATCTTTCCGAGCAAGGCGTTAACGACCGGTCACTGGCCACTGGCAGATAGTTCAGTGCAGATTATCTTTGCACGCATCTCATCACGCCCTTTATGGACTAGCTATTAGCAGTACTGAATGGGCTGAATTCCAAGACTTTAGGTCCTATAAAGCAGCCATTGTTGGTTGCGATCAGAAAAAGAACAGCGCGTTTGCTCACCCATAACATCCCAAACCTGGTCTTATGCCCTGTTGGTTTCATAAGTTTTATCCTAAAATTATCGTGGATTGGTTAATAGTTCTTCAACTGAGAATAGTTCCATTTTCGTAATATTTTACTGAGTTTGTGTTACGCGCATGAACATTGTTCAGTAGAGAAGAAAAGTTCCCAATAATCTGTTAAAGTATAACATTCTTGGTTGTTTTAATTTGCTAACTTTCAAAGTTTAGACCTGTTTCTTTACTGAGAATGCT